GCGTGAACCCAGGAGGTGGAGCTTGCAGTGAGCTGAGATTGTGCCACTGTACTCCAGCCTGGGCAACAGAGCAAGACTCCGTCTCAAAAAACAAACAAACAAAAAAACAATTCTTATTCACCTGTGTTGACTAGACAATGTTTTTATTTAAATATAATTAATATATAAAAACATAAAACTCATTATATACTCCTTGTATGAGTTACATACTCACAAGTGTTATATGACTATAAAACTAAACCAGATGTACAAACTAGACAGACAATACTGTGCGAAATGGATAATAGCCATACTTGTAAAGTTTTTCCTGTGTTCACAGTGTAGTCTAAGTGCTTTACATATATTTTGCTAATTTAATTATCACAGAGAGAGGTCATCTGATTTATAGTTGAGAAACTGAGGCATACAGTCTACACAACTGTTAAGTATTAGAGCTTGTCTTTGAACCCAGGAAATGTGGCTTCAGAGAGTGTGCATTTAATAATTATGTGAAGCTGCCTCTCTAAAAGCTAGTGAATTGCATTAAAGTGATAGATAGTGTGATTCAGTTAATGTTTATTTGCAGGTAGCTCGTTTAACTGGGTTGAAATATATTTGTGTATCAACCTGAATCTTTTGATTTAGAAAATGATGGCCCATCATCCGAGTCATTACTATGACTCCTGTCATTATTTTCTCTTTTTCACAATGAATGTTTTAATCACACATCTGTTATTTGAATGAGCCAATTTAGCAGTGCACTACAAAACACATTTTTATTCTGTAAAATAAAACAAAACAAATTGGTATGAAAAAGATGTGATTAGAGGAATACATTTATACATTGCAGGCCAAATGCTGTGGGTTCTTTTGATGAGGCTTAAAATAACTTGTTGCTCCATTTTCTTATCATTTTTTTCCCCTCATTTAACTGGAAGGAAAGCCTCCATTTGTGATGGTGTTTGCCTTCCCTGGGCAATGTGGTCATAAACATAAAAGCAAAGAGGGGGACAGCCTGGGACATTTTGCTAGGAGATTGTTATGCAGATTCTTTGGAATTTAAGCAAATTTAAGCCATTTCAGCATGGCAATCTTTGAGATGAAAGCACAACCTTAAAATTTTTTAAAAGTTCTGTTTTCTCAAAAATATCTTCATAGGAATCTATGGTCTTTAGCTGAAAAACCAGCGGGCTGGAGGAATGTATTAGAGATTGGAATTTAATCTGATACTGAAAGGAATGTGGATGAGTACAGCAGGTGCCACTGCAGGGCTTGGCTGTGGAATTCTCAAGCATGAAAGACTCAGTGCTCTTTGTAGGTTCTGGATATTAGCCCTTTGTCAGATGAGTAGATTGCAAAAATTTTCTCCCATTCTGTAGGTTGCCTGTTCACTCTGATGGTAGTTTCTTTTGCTGTGCAGAAGCTCTTTAGTTTAATTAGATCCCATTTGTCAATTTTGGCTTTTGCTGCTGTTGCTTTTGGTGTTTTAGACATGAAGTCTTTGCCCATGCCTATGTCCTGAATGGTACTACCTAGATTTTCCTCTAGGATTTTTATGGTATTAGGTCTAACATTTAAGTCTCTAATCCATCTTGAATTAATTTTCGTATAAGGAGTAAGGAAAGGATCCAGTTTCAGCTTTCTACTTATGGCTAGCCAATTTTCCCAGCACCATTTATTAAATAGGGAATCCTTTCCTCATTTCTTGTTTCTATCAGGTTTGTCAAAGATCAGATGGCTGTAGATGTGTGGTATTATTTCTGAGGACTCTGTTCTGTTCCATTGGTCTATATCTCTGTTTTGGTACCAGTACCATGCTGTTTTGGTTACTGTAGCCTTGTAGTATAGTTTGAAGTCAGGTAGCGTGATGCCTCCAGCTTTGTTCTTTTGACTTAGGATTGTCTTGGAGATGCGGGCTCTTTTTTGGTTCCATATGAACTTTAAAGCAGTTTTTTCCAATTCTGTGAAGAAAGTAATTGGTAGCTTGATGGGGATGGCATTGAATCTATAAATAACCTTGTTTACAAGAAAAAAACAAACAACCCCATCAAAAAGTGGGCAAAGGATATGAACAGACATTTCTCAAAAGAAGACATTCATACAGCCAATAGACACATGAAAAAATGCTCATCATCACTGGCCATCAGAGAAATGCAAATCAAAACCACAATGAGATACCATCTCATACCAGTTAGAATGGCAATCATTAAAAAGTCAGGAAACAACAGGTGCTGGAGAGGATGTGGAGAAACAGGAACACTTTTACACTGTTGGTGGGATTGTAAACTAGTTCAACCATTATGGAAAACAGTATGGCGATTCCTCAAGGATCTAGAACTAGATGTACCATCTGACCCAGCCATCCCATTACTGGGTATATACCCAAAGGATTATAAATTATGCTGCTATAAAGACACATGCACACGTATGTTTATTGCGGCACTATTCACAATAGCAAAGACTTGGAATCAACCCAAATGTCCATCAGTGACAGATTGGATTAAGAAAATGTGGCACATATACACCATGGAATACTATGCAGCCATAAAAAAGGATGAGTTTGTGTCCTTTGTAGGGACATGGATGCAGCTGGAAACCATCATTCTTAGCAAACTATCACAAGAACAGAAAACCAAACACCGCATGTTCTCACTTATAGGTGGGAACTGAACAATGAGATCACTTGGACTCAGGAAGGGGAACATCACACACCGGGGCCTATCATGGGGAGGAGGGAGGGGGGAGGAATTGCATTGGGATTTATACCTGATGTAAATGACGAGGTGATGGGTGCAGCACAGCAACATGGCACAAGTATACATATGTAACAAACCTGCACGTTATGCACATGTACCCTACAACTTAAAGTATAATAATAATAAATAAATTAAAAAAAAAAAAAAAAAAGAAAGACTCAGTGCTTTGAGTGCCATCCACAATCTGTTACAGTAATTATGACCCTAGCTCTGTTTGGGATTGTGCTTATTGTGTTGTCACAGATCGCCAGTGTTGCTACTGAAGGCCAGGTTTAATCTATATTACTTTAATAAATCTGTAGGTGGGACTCAGCCTGAACTTTTACTATTTGAGTCCCAACTTACGTGTTTCATGTAAAAAGAGGAGTATCTACTGATAAGAGTACCCAATGTGGGATTGTTGGAAGATACTGGCCCATACAAATATCCTGGCTTCCTTGCCACTGCTGGGTCACCAATACCTGGTGGAGATCTGCACACACTTAGTGTTCAAGGAGTCCATGTTGAGTGGAGAAATGCCATTCACTCTTCTAAGGTCCAGAGAGATGTTTTCAGTGCCTCTGAGGCACAATATAGTTTCAGGTATTTTATAAATATGATCCAATGATTTAATGTCATTGAAGGAAAAACGACAAGATGAACTTTTTAAAATCAATGAATTCTTTTCTTTTTTTCCCCTTCTCTGAGTAAGGGAACTGAACATTTGCACTTCTATTTTAATAGGCACTTCTCTGTAAGTGTTCTAAAACTCTGCTCAGCCTCAGCCTCAGCTGGGTCTGGTGTCAGTAGCACTCCGTGTAGGATATTAGTGAGGCGGCCAATCACCTGGTCCTATCTGTCCTCTCAGATGTGCCTAAGAGGCTTCTGAAATCTTCTTAGAGCTAACTTGCAAGGTTCCTGCTGGAAGTCATTACAGGGAAAGAAAAACTTTCATGATGCTTTTTTTTTTTAGGCAAAAACAGATCAGCTAATGAAAAATGGAAGAGTCAGTCAAGAGGAAGTAGCGGAGGAGAGAGAGCACCCACATGAGAACAGAAGAGAATATTTCCTTTAACACAGAATATACTAGGTTTAAAAATATGTTCTAGACCTTTCTCTTTGCAACTATACAATTAAATAATAATGAAGGAAATGTACTTCTAGTTCTTGTCTAAAAAATTATGGTGTGGAGATGGTAGTATTGCCTAGCTAGCATTTTGAGTCTTTTTCCTCTAGTTAGTGGTGGGTTGCATCGATTCTCTCCATTCTCTCAGGACTGGTCCCCTTTGGGTTTGACAGCATGTTGCCATGGTATCATCAAGACCTGCTTTCCTGCAGATGGGCCTGTAAATAGGCTTTGTATCAGCAAGGGAGTGGAGAGGGGGAAGAATATAATTTAACTAATTCATGTAATGATACTCATGAATGTCAGTGAAGTAATGGTGAAAATATTGGCTATTTGTATGCAGAGGAATTAAAAATAATCCCCTGATAAAACACTATTCATGCACACTGTACTCACCGTTGGGCTTCTAAAACATTTTAAATTTATATTTTCAGTGTGGTTTGAACTTTCCAACACCTGATCTAATACTGAAGTTTATCTTAGAGGACTTAGACATTTATCTTATTCTTAGATTGCATATAGTCAGTTGGTGTAGTATTGTTTTTACAGGACATCACTTTTAAGATGAAGTAAGCCCTTTCGGAAAGAAAGGTGCTTTCTTTACAGTAGTTTTCTGTGTATCCCAAAGAAGTTTATTGTTATCATTATTCATTATTCTTAGCATTGCCCAGCTTTTAAAACTGTTTACTGATTATTATAACAGATTGCATGCCATTTTGGTAACTCTAGATTTAAAAATTCTACAGATAAAGGCAGCAAAATTCCCCCAAATAATTACCTCTTCGAATAGTTTAATGGAATAATTAATTCTATTTCTAAGCAGTACTCTTCTTTTTGGGACCCTGTATTCTAAATTTTTCAAATACTCAGTACAAACTTTAAACTTGAATGTATCAAAAAAGTAAATAAATAAAATAGCTGCACCTAAGCGTCTCTCTTCCAGACAGGATGAAGCTGTGGAAAGGAGGACCATTGATGAGGGGCAGAGTGCTGGCAACTTCAGAATGCTTGAAGGGGAGGAATGAAATATGGCAGAGAGTGAAAATATCAGATTAAAGATGCCCTCTATGCCTTAGAATAGTGTTTACCAATATGGCGGGAAAATATTGTTCAGTGAATGTCATCACTCTGCATAGTTTTAGAAGCGGTATGTCACTTACCTTTCCTCTGAAAATCCAAAGCAGGAGCCAGTACCTGGCAGTTGGAATCAACACCAGCGACCAAACAAATCTCTGGAAAGGTTTTCATGGGAAATCCAAGAAGCTACATCTGAAGAAAATATTTTGTCTGTGACCAACAAGAAAAGGACAGTTTCTCTGGTTTCTGCTTCTATCAACATTCCATTAGCGTCTAGCAACATCTCTGGAGACACTTAAGGTTACTTGGATCCCACAAGTGACAGAACAAATGTAGCCATCCTTAAAGGTAAAGCAATTCGGCCGGGTGCGGTGGCTCAAGCCTGTAATCCTAGCACTTTGGGAGGCCGAGACGGGCGGATTGCGAGGTCAGGGGATCGAGACCATCCTGGCTAACACAGTGAAACCCCGCCTCCACTAAAAATACAAAAAACTAACCGGGCGAGGTGGCGGGCGCCTGTAGTCCCAGCTACTTGGGAGGCTGAGGCAGGAGAATGGTGTAAACCCGGGAGGCGGAGCTTGCAGTGAGCTGAGATCTGGCCACTGCACTCCAGCCTGGGCGACAGAGTGAGACTCCGTCTCAACAAAAAAAAAAAAAAAAAAAAAGTAAAGCAATTCATTCAGAAATTTGTGGCCGTCTTGTCACTGAGAAGCATTCATGTAGATGGCAAGTGGCCTCGTTCGTGTATGTATATGGGTATTAAGTATGTGTGCTATGATGTGTGTGTGTAAACACACATACATGCACATATACTTAATATCCATAAGCATTAGGGTATTTACTAATGGGTATTAAGTACCCTAAATTTACTAATGGGTATTAAGTATTAATTGTGTGTTTAAACTCAGAATTTAAACACTCAATTTGGACGGGCATGGTGGCTCATGCCTGTAATCCCAGCACTTTGGGAGGTGAAGCAGGGCGGCTCATGATGTCAAGAGTTTGAGATCAGCCTGACCAACATGGTGAAACTGTCTCTACTAAAAATACAAAAATTAGCCAGGCATGGTGGTGCACATCTGTAGTCCCAGCTACTCAGGAGGCTTAGGCAGAAGAATTGCTTGAATCTGGGAGGTGTAGGTTGCAATGAGCCAAGATCGTGCCACTGCACTCCAGCCTGGGTGACAGAGTGAGACTCCATCTCAAAAAAAACCAAACAAACAAAACATACAATTTAATTAATATTACAGTTGTTTTCTCTGGAACCACATATTTAGAAACTACTAGTGATATGGTTTGGTTGTGTCTTCACCCAGATCTCACCTTGAATTGCAAAAATCCCCACGTGTCAAGAGCAGGGCCAGGCAGAGGTAACTGAAGCATGGGGGTGTTTCCCCTATACTGTCCTTATGGTAATGAATAAGTCTCATGAGCTCTGATAATTTTATAAATGGGAGTTTCCCTGCATAAGCTCTCTTGCCTGCCACCATGTAAGACATGACTTTGCTCTTCATTCACCTTCTGCCATGATTGTGAGGCCTTCCCAGCCATGTGGAACTGTGAGTCAATTTAACCTCTTTCCTTTATAAGCTACCCAGTCTCAAGTATGTCTTTGTTAGCAACATGAGAACAGACTAATACAACTAGTTATTTTCAGTGTTCAAAAATGAAATTTTCTTAGTATGATAGTATAATTTATCTTGTACCGTAACATCTGATGCAAGGTTATTGATGTTTTCACCACTTATACTTAGAAACATCTTCATTGTCTACCAATTTGCATATATCTGCCTACTATGAGGACGGCAAGAGCAGAACTGGCTCAGGAGACAGTGACTCAGGCTTTGTCTGAAATTAGTTACTGATTGGCTGTGTTTCCTGAACCAGGTAGTTTACTGCTCTGGATTTTAGTTTCTATTTCTTTAAGAGATTTAGAGGCCAGCCGCCGTGGCTCACTCCTGTAATCCCAGCACTTTGGGAGGCCAAGGCAGGCGGATTACCTGAGGTCAGGAGTTCAAGACCAACCTGGCCAACATGGTGAACCTTGTCTCTACTAAAAATACAAAAATAAGCCGGGTGCAGTGATGAGGGCCTGTAACCCCAGCTACTCAGGAGGCTGAGGCAGGAGAATCGCTTGAACATGGGAGGCAGAGGTTGCGGTGAGCCGAGATCATGCCACTGCACTCCAGCCTGGGTGACAGAGTGAGACTTTGTTCCCCCTGCCACAAAAAAAAAAAAGAGATTTAGAGCCATATGATATCTTATTCCTCTTATCATCCTTAGGTTCCATAGGTCATGATAGAGTCTCCAGGGAATAAGGATCTTTCTCTTAAGTTACACAAAGCCCTAGAAATGGTAATCATTTATTGGAAAAACATATGAATATAGAAGACATCATTGTATTGAGTTTTATAAAAACTCTTCAGCAACCTATGCATGGGCTGACTGACATGTTTGCCTTGCCTCTATCCTGATTGTTTTCTCCTTTCACTTAGGAATAAGCTCTCGACATAAGGATCTCTGTAAATGCTTTTAGGTCTGTTAAGAAAAGCCTGACTCAAATCAGCTACAAGGGAGAGAAGAGTGAGAGTCACTTGTAGTTGTTTGTTTCTTAAATTCTTAGTGACCAAAAATATGAGAGAGATGGGGAGGTGAGAGAGACAGAGAGAGAGAGAGAGAGAAAAGGGAGTGGGGGAGAAGAGGGAGAATATTTGCTGCTGCAGTAAAACCAGTTGTTTTGTTCATATAATAATTTTTTAAAACATTTTGCTCAACTTTTCTCTTGAATAAAATACTTATAGCTACTTTAAGGATTTTGAGTTGAAGCAGAATTACTCAATGTGGAAAAGGTTAATTTATAATGGAAACTAAAAAAGATGAAGAAAGAGGGATGCATGGGTAGCAGGAGAGTAAAGGAAATGTAGGAGCTAATTTGCTTGGTTTTAGAGATGATAAAATTTTAATGTCAATCAAACCTTGTATATGATTCTTCTTATATTATGTATATTTAACTTTCTTGAAGTTGACTCGTTTTCGGAGACAAGAAATGTTATACTTTGCTGATCAGTTTAAGATGCCATGAACTTTTTTGAAAGCAATTTGGCAACATGCATTAATAATTTTAAAAAATTATACCATTTGATCTAATAATTCTACTTTTAGAAATCTATCCTAAGGGAAAAAATATAAAAAATGAAGAAAAAATAATAAACAAAAGATGTTTCTTGCTAGGCTATTTTTAATATAAATCTGTCCAAAGTAAAAATATGTTTTTACTTTGTTCCTTTCCAGGCCAGATTCCATAATCTATTATTATAATTATTCTCTTGTAAATACGTTCATTCCTCTGTCTACCTTTCTTTTGTGTCACTCGCCTGGCTAACCCTAACACTGAATAAGCCCAACTCTTTACTCTCTGTCAGTTCCTAACCTTGGCGGAGAGAACCACAGTCCAGTGGAATAATAGAACTATCAATTCATGATTATCAACCTCAACCACTATTTATGTGCTTGATATATATGCCAAATTCAGCGACAATTTCTACTCCTTCTCTTAGTGAATCTAAGCACCAACACTCTCTTTTTCATGAAACACCCTGAAACCTTCCTTTGGTTTCTGTAGCATCATGGTTTCCTTGTTTCCTTCCTGCATTTCTGGAGTCTCCCTTATCTTTTACCTGTCCTTTAAGTTTTCCACTTCTTTAGACCTCAGTCTTTGAGCTCTTCTTTCTTCACTGTGTTCTTTTGCTTTCAATGACCGTAGGAATCCCCTTGGCTTTACATGCAACCTCTATAATGCAGATGTCCCAAATGTATCTCTTCAGCCCAGCCCTTTCACCACGTCTCAGACTCCAACATCCAAATACCTATTTGTCAGAGCCACTTGGCCCTCCACTGTCATCGCTGGCTCCTGCCATTCCCTCCGGGTCTGCTCTTCTTTTAAAAAATGCAGATTCCACATAAAGAAATTAAGAATGTCCCTTAATATTTTGGTGAATTTCCTATTGGGCAAATCATAGCTATTTGTGAAGAGAAATACAAATATTAGAAAATAGAATGAACCAACTTAGAACCAAAAAACTTGAGAACTTTCTTATCCAAATTCATGACTTGGGTGTTTGCAGTTTAAGCTTCTGGTTTAATAAACGCAAATGTTAGAAAATACAAAACATGGAATACTATTAGGAGCTCATAGTGTACCTAATGTAATTTGAACATTATTTTTTAAAAAACCACAATTCAAATCCTTACCAGTTCCCTAGGCTTTTACATCTATAATTTAGACAAACAGAACACATAGCAGAGGTAAATATGCTTATTTCTCAGAGGAATAGATTCACAGAAATCCCCATTTGCAGAAATGCACCCGGGATTAGTAACATTAGTGCAGACATTCCACTTATGTATATATGTTTTAAAAACACCCTGAGGCATACAGGAAAAATAACTGCCTCTGTTTTGTGTGGTTGTCCTTTGGGAGAAGTAGAGTTGATATGTGAACATTAACAAGATGCATTTACTTTTGAAAAGTAGATCAGCTCAAAATTGTGAGTCATAAACAATTTTCTAGCTCAGTGGTTCTCAGCCTTTGGAAATATGAGAACAGCTTTTTAACATTAAAAAAAATTAGAGATCTCCTTCCCATAAAAACAAAGCAACACTAAACAAACACCTCACACAAAATCACAGTAGCTTTGATGTGTTCATTTCTTTCAGTTGAGGAGATAAAGAGAAAAAAGTGTTACTATTAATTTGGTAATTCTTTAAGAAACTTGTATTCTTTCTCTTTTCTCTTGATTTCCTTCTATGTTTGTGTTTACTTTTTTGTTAATATACTGTATTTTTGATATGTCACTTTAAATTATTTGTGGTAAGAGTAAGAAGAAAAGTAATTTAGTAATCTTTTTATTGGATAAATTATTTTTAAAGAGAATAAGTACTTTATATTTAAACTATTTGAAACTACATATGTACATAGGTTAAGAAATCAGAAATCCCTCTACAGGGATATTAATAAAAAACAGCCACTCGCTGGTATCCCTATCCATTCTCCCAAATTTCTACTCCTCTGCAGCATTTTCAACTAATAGAGCTGTTCTTAAAAATACCTTTTCTCCATATCTCTATATAGCAGATTTATATTGTTACTTCTTTTGCTACAACTTTGTTACTGAACTTTTGTAGTTTTAGTCATAATGCATTACTTGATATCCTTTGCTTCATAGCTTCTCTTTTGACCTACCGTACATGTTT